AGGGTTCCTTCCGAGAGGTTTTAGAGGATTTTACTGTAAGGGTGGCCTTTTTAAAGGATCTATAGGGGCTACTTTGGGGGGGGTACTTTCGAGAGCTTTAGGGCTTTTGTAAGTTTAGGTTTTAGGGTTTTTGTAAGTTTGCTGTAGGTTTTAGGGTTGAGGACTGAATTTGTTGTAAGGGATCGAGAGATTGGGATTCCAGGGTTCGTGTCAGCGGTCCTTTTAAGGGATCTGCAGTTTAGGATTCAAGGGTTCCTCAGGGCCTACCAGAAGGGCTCGAGGAACATCATGTCTATTTCGAAAATAGAAACAACAGACATGTAATATAACAACAAGAACAAACACAATGACCATAATTACACTAAGAATAACAAAAATCCTAAAACTAATACTAACAGTAATAGTATTAGTAATATACGAAAACTAATAATAATAATAATACTAATAACAATAGTAATACCTCTCTTGCTTCGAGAAGCCGGATCGTAGGTCGACCAGTCCAGCTGCAAAGAATCGAGGCCCCGACGTGGACCTCGAGAGCTGTTTAGGGCTCAGGGCTTAAGGGGGTGTAGGGGTCTCGGGTGGGTCTCGGGTTGCAGGGGTCTTGGGATTTCGGGCTTAGGTTTTAGGGGTTTTAGGATTTTCCGGGTCGACGACGTTCAGGATGTTCAGACGGTTCCGGGTGAAGGCTTGGTGCGTTTTTGCGGTGTATGGTGTATGAAGCAGTGGCAGAAGGCTCCGTGGGTTACCGTTAGTTAGGAGTCGAAGACTTAAGACCCCAAGCGTTTTGGGGTACACTATTACTATAAATATGACAAGGAACCCCCAAAATAGTATTGGTAATTATTGAGGCCCCTAGATTAACCCCCAATAAAGCCCGAAGCAAAAGATAAAGCTCAAAGGAACTCACTCAACCCCTGAAAGTAGCCCTCGAAGGAACCCTGAGGAGCCCGTGAAGGAACCCTTAAGGGCACTTATGGGGTTCTAGAATAGGGTCCCCTTTTCAAGGGCACCATGGGGTTCTACAATGGGGTCCCCCTTTAAGGGTACCTTCGGCTTCTAGAATCGGGTCCCCTTTAAAGGGAATTTGAATGGCTCACAATAGGGTCCCCCTAAAGGGTACTATGGGGCCCTGCAATAGGGTCCCCCTTTAAGGGTACTGCCGGCTTCTAGAATCGGGCTCCCCTTTAAAGGGGACCCGGAATGGCTCAGGCTTCATTCGCAGAGCCAAGCTGCAGTGAAGCTCGGACACCGCTCCCGGCCTGGCTAAGAAGTCAAACTTGGCTGGGGCTGCAAATATAGGGGGCCTTAATAGCTAGAATAAGGTTAGGGGTATATGATATGATACGGTACAATACAAGACAATACAAGAATATACCACTTTATTCTTCTATAATATATTATCCGATTTAGAATATACTATTTCATAATCTGTTATATGCTGTTGTATTATATTATGTTGCTGATATCCTCTCCTATTCTATTGTATTATATTATTCTGTATTTTATATCATGTTGGACCATACTGTTTAATACTATACTATGTTGTAATATATTATGTATTATTCTGTTATACTACATTATACTATTTCAATTTATAAACAGTTATAGCATATTCACACCGTGTTGTATGAGATCATGTTATGCTATGTATTAAGATGGCAGGACGTCGGCTTGAGGGTTTCGCTTCTCGGCACACGGGGCCTGTCAAACTGCCAGGGGCGAAGTGAAATCGGGTGATGATCTTATAGTGGCATACACGACAAATATGGGGGGGAGTGTCAGAAAGCAACCGACCCTCAAACAGTCTCCCAAAAGCAGTTTTCTCGGTGGAACGCTGTTCCCTCGCAACCCCTGTAGTACCAACATAACGTGAAACATGTCGAACCAAAATTCTATCACATCCGTCCCTTATGCAAGAGCCCACAATCCCACAAACCCCATGTGCACCTCAAAAATCCTTGAAGAAAGGGTTGTCTCAATCAGGATCCTATGCTGTCGGGGCTCTATTCAGGTCCCTGATGTTTCAACCAAAAAACCCGCGCGCAGTCAGCTTTCATGAGCCCCAAGGTGATCAATGCCCGGGAATTTCAGACCAAGATCATTAAAACCCCAAATGGTTGGGCGGGGAACCTGAACAATTGGAATAGGGTTTGGGGTTTGGGGGTACCCTAAAATGGGGGGAGCCTTAACAATTACAAATGGGATTTGAGGTATCATTACACTATATCTCATCACCTAGGCCAATTTCCTTCACAATGCGGTGTCCCTCCCAGTGGTGCCTGGAAGAGGGCTGGCAAAGCAGCGCCGGGGACGGCAAAAGAGACCTCAGTACAGTGACCACCCCAACATGCCAAATACAGCGGCCTATGTGATCAAAATGGACTTGAGGTTACACCATACTATACTGTCGAGAATACAATACAAGAGACACTTTCTCAATATCCCTACTGACGACACCATGACCTGGATCCGTCGCAGCCCTCACCGCTGCAAGCCTGAAGCCGACACAACCTGCTGCCGACTATTGATGCTGCTGCTGCTGATAATAATACTACTACTATTAAAGATACTACTACTACTAGTACTACTACTACTACTACTACTACTACTACCACTAGTACTAGTACTACTACTACTACTACTACTACTACTACTACTACTACTACTATCGTTTGCCCACCCTTCTTTCCTCCTGTACCCCTTTGCCCGCCCAGGTTCGTCTTCCTCGTGGCCATG